CCCAATAGGCTGGGTCACGATAGTCTTAATTGCAAACTGCTATCTTTGGATCCATTTGTCCCCGAACTATGCTTGGGTAATTATCATTTCAACCTTGAATCACAAGTTCACCACCGACTTTGACGCGCTAATTACCAACACGCTTTTGTCTTCCCAAATCGCGAAGAAGGCAGGCATGATTGCCCACCGTATTTTCTCCCGGATAGATTAAATAAAATAACCCAAGAACTTGGTGTTTTCTGTCTTCGTCGTCGCATAATCACTTGATTGGGCCTCCTGTTTTGGTTCACATTCGCTCTCATTTTCAGTCCTCAAGTTTCCCGATAGCAGAAACGAGAAAAAGTTGATTCTTTCCCTTGTCGCTCGATACATTTGATATTGCCATCATATTGAGCTGCACATCAGCTGGCTTTATCGGCAACAATGGCGACGAGGCGGCCGATAAATCCTTCCCGGCGTACATCGGGAAGTGGAACAGCGACATTTTCGTCTCCCTTTCACTCGAGATCCCGTTCATCTCCTTACTTATCGATTGCCCTCATCATTCTGGTTCCAATTCTTAATTCACCTCCCCTTTTTTTCTGAGTTTTTCTCTCTCTCACTAGGTTCTCCTAGATGCAGAAAGTCTGATATTGAACGACAATAGTTCTGATTTGAGGTTTCTATTTGGCAGGGGGCGTTGTTCGTTTTAGGTTTCCTGTATCGAGGCCAAGGTTCGATTTTTATGCATTTCTTTTGTGTAATTTTCTGTTAGTTTTAATGACTTGAATGTGACGTCGAATTTAGTTTCCTCTGTTATTATGAAGCGGACTTGAGTAATAGATGGCTTTCGAACAATGGATGAAGACTGAAATGATGGGTGGTTTTCTGTTAGTTTGCAGACCGAAATGATTTTTCCATTCACTGTGATCTGATAGGTGGCAATGTATGTAGATATAATGCTTTTTGAGAAGTTATTAATAAGTTGTCCGAACTATTCATTTAAAATGGTAAAATTTCAAACCGGCGTTAGATTTTTGTTGCTACCACATTTCAGATATGATGTGAATGAAGTGATTTCACCTAGTTGGTCTTTAAATCTTTGCTAGATCTAAAAAGTGTATAGAGCCAAGATTTTCCAAGATCAGCAGAGGAAGCCAAGATGTATTTTTTAAATTTCATTCGGTGTAACTTTTCTGCGGTTGTATCTCTCTGCTCTTAAGTTCTATTAGTGCTCATTTCTAAGAAACCTGATCAAATTTTGGCATCTAGCTTTTTGGGTTCCCTATTAGATACTAGCAATGTATCTCATTTCGATTGGGCTTTAAGCTGACATGTGATTTTCTCCGTAGGTCCTTTTGCAAATAGTAAAGCTGCCAATCGTATTGAAGGTAATCTTGTTTCTTGCAGTTTTTTATTTAGTTATTTATTTTACGTAGTTGTCTCCTTATTAGAATAGCTAAAATTGCCTTTTTCTTTTGTTTGCCTTGAGAAATTGGTTCATGGTTTGTTTCTTGGTTGTGTATAATATAGATTGTGAAGCAGACAGTATTTTGGTTTCGAGAACCTCTGATATACTAGTTGAGGACCTTGAGGTAAAGAAGAAACCATATGGTGCTGTGTTCTCAAAGCAGAATAAGAAATATTTATTCCCAAATTCACTTCTTACAGAGTTAACAGTGTCAATGAAGTAATTTTCCAATGGAGCAGTAATATGTATGAATTATTAATCTGTTACGGTGTGGTTGTTTCAAGATGTAGAAACATAAAAAGTCTTTGCATCTTCCGGATAGCCCAATTTTTTTCTCTCAGTTAAGCGCTTGCTCAAATCGTGTTTGATGTCAGAATGTGATGTCCTAATTAAGTTAGTTGAATTAGCATGCTCTTAGGCTTCAGCTAACCATGTGTTTTTATTGGATATACCAATTTATCAGTCCAAAACATGTGTATACTATAGTTGATGAAAGCCCATGATACAGTTTGAGTTAATCATCCCACTAATCTAAACAATGTAAGTATACATACTTTCATATAAACCTACGAAAATCCTGAAATTCGACTCGCAATACGAGAAGTCCTAAGGGAAAAATAAAAAAAAATAGTCAAAAATAGAACAACCCTATTTACATTTCATTTACATAAGTTCAAATCCAGCTTTAACCGGATGCAGGTGACTTTTCATGCACCCTAGAGGTCGAACGAGCCATTCCTATCCTGCAAAAGGCATATGGGGACAGCATGCACAAAGTTTTGCACGTGGGCCCAGACACTTGTTCTGTGGTCTCGAGATTGTTGAATGAAGAGGATAGCGAGGCTTTTGGCGTGGAGCCGTATGACATCGAGGATGCGGATCTCACTTGCAGGAGATTGGTCCACAGAGGGCTCGTTCGTGTGGCAGACATTAAGTTCCCTTTGCCTTATCGAGCAAAATCTTTCTCTCTCGTGATTGTCTCGGATGCTTTGGATTACTTGTCCCCCAAGTATCTGAACCGGACGCTTCCGGAACTAGCTAGGGTGTCGTCTGATGGCCTCGTCGTTTTCACCGGTAAGAGAAATTATGCCTCTTTTTNATATATATATGTGAAGTTTATTCTATTTATTTGTACATGAACTGTGTTCTGTTAGGCCAGGTTATGGTGATAGAATGCTATTTCTGGTTTAGGTGAAGGTTTGTAGAAATATTTACTACAGAAATGATAAAACCTTATGTTATGACACATTTGAATTGATTTAGAAGGGTGTGTTTGTTAACCAATAAATTCACTCAAAGTGAGTTTTTTTAGTTAACTAGGGTTAATTTAGAAAAAGTGGTTTAGTTAGTTGTTAGTGGGATTTTGAGTTTATATTAAAATAATATTTTTAAAATAAAATAATTAAAGTTGATTTGATGTAAAAGTAGGAGAGAGATGATATGAAGTGATGATTAGCTAAAATTATGTGAGTGGATGAATAGTGAATTAAAATTGATATGATGTGTAAAAATGATTGGTTATTATTTAATTATATTGATAATATTGAGGATAGTGGGGTTGAGTTAAAGTTGAGTTAGATTTTGAGTAACCATACCCACAACAATATTATCAGTTCTGAATCAGAGTTATCATAATTCTTCTTGAAGTAACACAACAGTACATTTTCACTAAATTAGATGTTTTTTTTTAATGCATATCCTAGTAACTAAACTGACTATCCCAAGTGTATAAAATATGAAGACACCTTCCTTGTGTTTCACTTATTGATTGATGTTTTAGAAACACCAATAGCTCGGGGAAAAAGAATGGTTCGTAACTTCTTGTTAGATGGCACATAAATGTTTATGTTTATTAAAATTACCCTTGCACAAATTTTTAGGATATCCACGTCATCAGAAAGCCAAGGCCGTTGATAAAGCTAAATATGGACGTTCAGTAAGTGATCTGTTCTCCCTCTCATTTCTCCCTACGCGCACCAGCATTCATGCCGATAAATAATAATGGAGAAATAACAAAGCAGCGTATATGATCATTAGAGTGCAAATAATTTTTGATTGTGTGTTCTTTGTGATAGGCTAAGTTAAGGAGCTCGACTTGGTGGGTTAGATATTTTGTTCAGATGAGCTTAGAGGAAAATGAAGTTGTCGTCAAGAAGTTTGAGCAAGCTGCAGAAAAGAAGTCGTACACACCTAACTGCCAAATTTTCCATCTCAAATCTTACAACTGATGCCGAAAGCTCTTATTATAAAAGAGATTTGATATCCATCTCGGACCGCCAACTTACCTAGAGCATATCCTGATGTTGACCAAAGTACTACATGTGGCTTTTGAGCTCGGGATACAGAAAGAAACACGCAAAATTCATATTTTTTTCTCTTACATTAGCATAATTTTATTTTATTATAAGGAAAAAAGAATGTATGGGGAAAGCTAAGGGTTATGAGGTTCTAGATTTTTTTTCTCTATTGTTTTTGTGTGAAATAGAACTTTGGCCGTTGGTTTATAGATATCACAAAGCTAGTATTTGCACCGGGATACAACTTGAATTCATAGCTTTCATTGCGTTGTATTGTATAATTAAAATTGGTCATACCAGATTGATATCCTTAAACTGATTTGCTCCCAAAAGACCTGCAAATTATGCCAGCAGTCGGGGTAAAATCTCAGATGATTAAGTCAATAAAAGGCTATGAAAGACTGCATGTAAATGTAAGCAATAATATTGAAAGTGTAGAATGTGATTAACATTTTACCTTTAATACTTTTCAATAAAACGCGTTTGCTCGAAGGCTTGCTCGAGTGCTCGGACTGCTCGAAGGTTTGCCTAGCGGTTATTTTGCTACTCCTAGGTTTGCCTGAGACTCATTCTTATCTGTAGGAGCATTTAGATATTTCTCGAATAACCATACGTGTGTCCCATATCAATAGGTCTTACCATCTTCGTATTCATAGGTCTTCTTGCTCGTACACCTCCCTGAGTCCCTATATGTGCCAAGTGTCTGTAGATCAGGCCACACACACTCAGTAGGTTTTCGTATTCATTTTCCCATAGCTCGGCCAAATACATCCCCAATAAGTCTTCATGTTCCATATCCGTAAGTCCGCCATATCTACTTGAAGCTATTTCAATGATACTCGAGCTACCATAGTCTATCCGAGCTAATTGGTGGATATTAAGTTCGAGCTACATAATGGAAGGTAAGTCCGAGCTACATAACGGAAGATAAGTTTGAGCTACATGATGGGTGACTTATCTTCGCTATGACAGACCGACTCAATCCGAGCTATTTAAGACCGGCTCAATCCGAGCTATTAAAGACCGGCTAATCCGAGCTACTCCATATGTTATATCATCTAGCCTTTCATTATCAAATGAGCTATTGCTTTCCGAGCTCAATAAACTTGTTTGATAATAATAATCATAGTTTTAAATAACCCTGAATAGGTCATACTCGACATGTGCTTCTTGAAGGCATACATCGTACGTCTTGCTTGTCTTTTCTCCTACCCTATCTGTCAGGCGTTCCACTTCCATGCCCTAGTTCCCATCTTGATTGTGCATCTAACAGTGATCTAACAACCACCCTTCTACGACTTAGTTTATAAATCTTGTTCCTGGTCTTCCTTAAAATTTTTTCACGCATTTGAACTCTCTTCTGCCGGCGGGCTTCAACCTAGGGCGGTGGGTACTCGATCTGTCGGAAACCGGCGGAGTTTTTCAAAGGCAGCGTGATGTGACGAACGACATTCCCGTTTTTTGAGCAGAAGTAGTTCATTTGGCTCGTCCAAAGGAGACAACGGCTGGTGGCGGTGATCTATCGAGCACCTCAGAGACGAGCGGCTACAGTTGTGGGCTCATCCCGAGAACGGTCGTCGGCGGAGTCTCTGTGATGCGACGACAACCCTGTTTGTGATGAGTGACGATATGCTGATAATTTCGATCAGATCTGTTTCAATTTTTATTTGATGTTTATTTATTTTTTATTTTTGATATATTAGTAGATCTTTTTGTTGATGAGGAAATCGATAGACGACAAATAAGAAAATTTGCTTCTTTTTTTTTTCTCTTATTATTGTTTATGTTGTTTTGGATATTCATATTAATGTTATTTTTCGTTCTTACTTTTAGTTATATCGTATGTTTATGTTTTAATTGAGTAGATTCTGTGAATGGATGTTTGGTTTTTGTCATAGTGCTTATTGGTTCTTATTAGCTCTGTCGTGTGGACAAAATGGTAAGACATTCTTATTTGCCAAAGAAGTCTATTTTCTACAGTGTTTTGATAGGGCTCATTGAAAAATGTTTCCCTCGTGAATCTACAGGGTTGATGGTACTTATGTTCGATAAAAAGATTAGACCAAACATGAATCTCTCCAGTAGTGTTGTTCGATTGTTGTTCAAGAGGTGCATGCGAAATTGAGCATTTGAGCATGTAAAAGTTATGTAAATAAAAACGCAACATATAATAAAAATATGCAAACGGTAAACGCAACATAAATTGAAATTATTTTGATTCATGTCTTTCACAAGATTATGATGCTCGTCATTGAGCTTTGACCTCTTGTTATTATAATTGTCGACTTGGTCAGTTTTGCCATTGTATACTACAAAAACGTAAATTGTATATATCTCTTATATATGTCAGAGAGACGTAAATTGTATATATCTACTTATATGTTATATACATAGTTACATTTATAAACCAAGCATAAATTGAATTTTGGTTGAAAAACGAAAACAAAATTGTAATCTAGTATGTAAAATTTCTTTTACATCCTGAGAGCGCTTATAATATGTTTTACATATCAATGTTGTACAGATTGTAAATATAAAATTAAGTAAAAAAATATAAACAAAAAGTATAAAAGAAATTCAAACATCATAATCGTGGTTAGATAATATTTTGTAAATAAAAAAAACAACATATACAGAAAATATACTGAGTATAAACGCAACATATATAGAAAATATTCTTTGGCCAATAAAATTTATCGGTCATCTCTCTTCTCTTCTCATTGTCGTCATCTTCTCCTGCGACATTCGCCCCTCCGCCGAAAATTTCTACTCAAATATCACTGTCATCCCTTCCCCCTCCTCTCTCCTCTACCAGTCTCGTCGACTTCAAGAAGGGCGAGAAATCAGCCAACCTGGATAGTCTAAAGACATAGAAATATCCAAAGATAGATCCTCCACCTTCGTCGTGGTCTGTCTCACCAGTTAAGCTGAAGCCGAAGTCGATCGGGCTATCCTGCTCGATCCGAACGACGCCGCTTCGCACATACTCACGGCCCTCGTCCTCGATCTGCAGGATCTTAGGAATTTCTTCGGCCTCCTTTCATGTTGTAGGTGGAGGTCTTGGACTCGCAACCATTAGACGAACTACATATTTGATGTGCCATCCCTGGTTAGCCACCACTTCGATGTTCGAGCGCCGTGCATTGAACGACCTTGGACGAGCATATTCATCGATCTGCGCCGCCGTCGGTTATCGCCAGTCATAAGTTTGCCGCCGCCGATTGATGCTTGGTGGGAATTAAATTGGGGATGATCAATTATTACAAAAAGAAGAAGAAACTGATTTGAATGTTGGAGAGTTATTTCTAAAATCGGTTACGCAATTTAAAGAAAAAATTGGTTATATTTGGTAAACTCATATAATACACTTTGTTAAAAAGAAAAATGTTATAATCAAGCAGAGTGAAACTTGAAATTTCCCCCTTCTTCAGAAAACCTAATTTGTGTTGCGCCGCCGCCCCCCTCTTCCGGCGGGTCGCCCTCTGTGGCCATCGGGCCGATCTTGGCGAGTCGTGGCTGAGAGCTGATTTTTCAGCCCTCCCAGTTTCGGATTCGACTGGGCCGAAGGTGGAGATCACCGCCTTATCTTCCCAAGCACCGGAGAGGTTGCCGGCCGCCGTGTCCAGCTCCAGCCTTGGGAGCCGTCATGCCGCTTGAGTTCTGGTCTCGCGTGCCTCAGTTCAATTCCTTGGAGGGCGCCGTTCTTCGACTGTGGTTTGCCAAGGCGGGGCTACCCTGACTGGCCGCCGGTACGCCTGATTCTTGGCTTGCCGGGCCAGGCTATTTCGGATACGGGTCCATCTTGGGTGCTCTCTTTGGGTTTTTGTCTCGAGACCTCCGGCGAGTTCTTGGCGGTCTCCTTTACTATCCCAAGCATTGAATTACTTCGGAGTCCAGATCTGGGCCGAAAATCTGTCTAGGCGGGCGAGTGCCGCAGTTTTCGGGTTTGGAGCTTAGTTCTTGTTGCTCGGTTGGCGTTCTTTGTTGTGGGTGTGACTCGATAGTTGGTCTAGGTGGTTGTGGGGTTCGTCTGCTAGATTTAGGAGAGGTTTTATTGTATTTTGTTTATTAGGTGTGAGTTGTTATTTATCTTTTTTTGTTGTTTTTTCGTTTAGTCCAGCGGCGTCTGGTTGTTAGTCTCTGCTTTGGAGTTGGTGTCTCCCTTATGGAGTTTTGTTTTTGCGGTTAGGTCTCCTAGATGGAGGTTGTACCCCCTTGACCAAGTGTGTGAATCCAAGGGGGGTTGGTCCAGTTTTTCTGGTTCCAGTAGTGTCAGTTGGCACTCTGATCTGTACTCTTTTTGAGTTTTTGACGTTTGAAAATATATATATAATGCACTTTGTTAATTATTTGCTTGTGATTTAAAATTAATGCTATTTTTTTTTTCCTCAATTGCAAATGTGTTATTATTTCCAAATCAAGCAAAAATATAAATTGGCCTAACTAATATAGAACACACATTCGTTAACTCAATTTTAAATGAGTGCTCCTATCGGACATGTGGTAGACCTCGTATTTTCACTAAATTCGATCTATTTTTATATTTTTAAAAACTATTAATTAATTATATCTTAATTAGTATTTTTGACCTTTTCTTTCGTTACTTATATAATTTATCTAGTAATTTGACACCACGAAGAGTGGGAGATTAAGAACAAATCCCCAACATGTATATAATCAAAACCCTAATTGGGCCGAAAAAGTCATAAGTCTACACGTGTTCGAACAACAAACGAAAACAAAATGAAAAAAGGAGAAAAAATCAATAACCAAAATGAAAAGTCTGAACCTTGGCTGTCAGATGCCCTGGCGAGTAGTTTGTACCACAAAGTGGGTTGAAGCACAAAAAAATACAAAAAGGCGATCAGAATCTGAATGAGGGGTAGCCATCCTGATCCATCTGCACAAAAGTTCAGAGACGGGGAGAGGTGTTGTCTGGGTCAAACATGCACCTCTGGAGAGTGGAGGCACCAAGGCTGGCTAGGTAGTTGGCAGGTCGGTTCCCGTCACAGAAAATGTGCGAGATCCAGTAGCGAACCGAATGAAGTGTGGATCAGATGCGCACGAGCGGGTGCTGAATCTGCCACGAGCCCTGATGGCCCAAGGTAAAGAGGGTTGCGACAGCGGCATCATCCAACTCAATCCAAATGTGAGTTTAGGTAGAGGCTGTAATCTGAAGACAGATATAAAGCGTCTGAATCGCTGCATTGTAACTCAAGGATGCCTAAAGAAGGACGTGGAAGGCGATAACGAGAGCTCCATGTAATCCCTAATCAGGCCCCCGCTTCTGGCAGTTTCGGTGAGTTGGTCGAAAAATCCATCAGTGTTCAGCTTAACCCAAGGGAAGTCGAGTCTCAACCAAAAAAGGGCTTTGGAGCGTGGGTACTGGACAAACGACAATGGATGCGGCATGAGGCGATGGGACGGTATGCAGCCTGTCTAGTCTCTAGGCGTAAGTCTGCCTAGAGATGTATGGAGGGAGAGATGTCGATAAACCTGCAAACCAATGTGAGAGCACATGAAAGTAATATCCCTATTCTTCGCAGCGCTCCTCTCTATGCAGATGAACCACATGATCAGACAAGGAATGAGGAAGCCCACGTGTCTAAAGTATGTGCGTTGTGAGAAAAAAACTCAAGAGCCAAAGAAACTGTCTGTAGTGGGAAGGGCTATATGAGTATACTTGACAAATAGCTCCTACACTCTCCTTGCAACCTCACTCTCTAAAAACAAATGGAAAAAGTCTCAGTCTAGAAATCACTAGTCTTAGTACAATAGTAACACTGCGAGTGGCGAATGAATCCCCGTCGCCTGCAACATAGAGTCGATCAGAATCCGACGTAGAAGAAGGCGCCAAAGGAACGCAGAGATGATCGGGGTAAGAAGGTCGGTCCAAATAGCCCCGAAGAGAAGGTTAGACCGGTCACCCAGCCGAACTTCCACCCAAGCTAAGGTCGTAGTGAAAGCATCCGAAGATGTAAGTCTTTACCTCATACCATCCGACCCGCCCTCAGAGATGGGAATCTGCTGGATTTGCTCTAATAACTGGTCACTCAAAACCAACTCTAGTACCCAACTCCTTCTTTAACCAATCCCTATCCCACGTCGCATTGGTTCACAGGTCCTTCACTCGCAGAGAAAGAGAGTGAGTGACCTGCACAGTGCTCGAAAAAGGCCCCTCACCAAACCACTACTCGTCCCAAAAGCTAACATCACCCTCACCCAGTGTCCAGAAGATGTGATCCTAGGCATGCCTACCTACCCTGGTGAGCCGCCTCCACTGTCTACTATCATGATTGGTGGCTGTCACCCTACAGGGATGACATACACCTCTAGGACAGTATTTCCCGCGAAGGTACTGAGCCCAAAGAGACTTCCTTCCCAAGCGCCACCCTATCTTATAATTGAGGTAGTAAGTTACATATTAGGCAAGAGATACTTGCCATTTGGATAATTGTTCAGAATAATATACTACTTAACTATTATTAATCTAATTTGTCATTTATTGGGAAATTTTCTCCGATCCCTCTCGACACGGCTCAATAATTAATAACAATCAGATCACCCCAGTATATAATTCTCAAATGCGCTGAGCCTAGTGGCAGAGGCGCACGCTTAAGATCTTATGTGACAAATTTTTATGTTTTGTTGTTTGGTTTGAATGATTTTAATTTATTTTCAATCCAAAAGTAACTAGGCTTAAAGTATTCATAAATACACTGGATATTTATGGCTCTTTTTAAGAACATTAATTATGTTTTAAAATCATTTCCTATAGATGTGGTTTATAAAGTGTAATTATTTTTTCTTAATTTTTTTCTCATGTTTCTTTCAATATTATAACAAATTTACTAACTTAATTATAACTATATTTAAAAGTGAATAAATTTTTTATTTATTAACATTTTTTATATATAATATATAAAACTTTGATTTTACTTCTATATTATACATACAAAATAAATAAATAATTTTATTTATCTTTGTAATATAGATTAAATTATCTATTAATATATTTTATAAATATAGTTATTTAAACTAACTTAACTACAAAGTATTTATCTGATATAAATTTTTAAAAAAAATTATAATATAAGATGATAAGTTATGTAGGTGACGGTTTCATTTTAAGTATAAATAATAATATATTTTTTAGAAAAAATATTTAAAAACTAAAATTTTTTTGTTGTTATTATTTAATTTTAAATATAATTTTCTTAACAAGTACTCGTATAGTACACTGGTATTGTACTAGTCAATAGTTAATGGTGAGAATGAAAACAATTAGTTGAGAAAATGAAGTAGAGGTGCGGTTTGGTACATTATTTCAAACCGCTACTGTACCCGATTTTTAATTTTTTGATCAAGCTACACCCACAATTATTTTTTGATCAAGCTACACCCATGGAGAGGTACTAATGGAGAGGTACTAATACCCGATTGGGATGGCGTGAAATAATAATCGCTGAATGAATAGCTCTTTTGTTGCAAGAAAAGAAGCAGGGAAGGTATAGAGCATATATGGACATGATAATTTATGTTATGAGTCAATAATTGGTTCCAATTTCTTTTATATCTATCTATCTATCTGTGAAGAAGACTGAGAGAAATGGATGCAATGATATATACACACAAGTTGGTTCCTGACATGAAAAGTAGTTCGATTTTCTGTCTGCCCTTTTCAGTGATAGAAACTGCCGGCCATTTTCAACTGCTGCCTTCTTCATTACTTGAAAGACTTTGGTTTTCGTTCAAATTTTGTTTTTTTAATAATTTTCTATGAACATTAAATATTCTTTGGAAATG